TTCACAAGTCCAGCTCCCACGTTCAGGTCGAAGGGCATACGCACAGGATAGAATAAGACCAGCGACGATACCTTATGTATGTGTGTACCTCAAATACACTCCATGTCCCAGATATTCGAAGGCGCGTATTTCGTAGGATCCCTTGTATATTTGGTATATTTTCATCCAAGACGACTGTTATCTTCTCTTGAGTTGGACAGAACCATGATTACAATTGTCCCAACACGTTCAAATGAAAAACGCCGCCACGCCCATCCCCGGGTAAGGACTGTGGTTCGTCGGTGGTGTTATAAGAAAATTAATGTTGCACCTACGCAGCACCATCACTTTCTTCCCATTCCAATAGTACAGGTGCACGTTGGAACTAACCAACCTTTCCCTCTACAGTCAGGGAATCCGCATGATTCGTGAAAGCTATAGTACTCACAGTTGCTTCGTTCATTTATGCTTGCACTCGATGATAGCCGCAGAGACAGCGCTCGCGATCAACTAAGGTGCAGGATTCCTATAGTGAACAAGATGACGGAGCTTGCGGTCACAGAGATGTCTCTTTTCCGCGGCTCAAAAGCGCTGATAAAAGCACGATAGCTCAGCAACGATAAGCTGACTCCGCCTATGAAGGCGGAGTCAACAAGTTCCACCTCGATCATTTTTTCATTACCAAGATTCGTTAGCGGTGATAATTGCTAATCTTATCGAATATGCCTTGGAGAATGAGTCGCAGCAAGTGGCGATTAGATTCAGAGAACTCGCCCAAAGTTTAATTAACTCGTCCATTTTCAATCCGTACATGATGTTAAGGGCATTTTCAACGTGACTTGGGTGACGTGCTCGTCCTAAAATTGCGAAGTAGGCCGCTAGTAGTAGTGGGGAAAAACGGCGAAAAAGAACGGACGTGAAATGCGGAAATGCTGCCCGTGAAAAGAGCCTCCGTTCCTCACTGCTTATTAGTAAATCATTTTGCGTCGAGGTGTCCGACGGCATCTCTGACCCAATAACCGCTACCGAAGGTACGGCTGCATATGTGTACTCATATATCCATGCAGCATCACGACCGCTTCATACCAATGCCTTCGCTTCATAATTTGCTTAGCAAATGAATCAATTAGAGCGTCTGGAACAGTCGTCCATTTGTGGGCGGGCGGGCAAGGGGGCGTTTGGGACGTAACGTTGTGGCTTTGATAGCCGCCCTCCATGAGGCGCACCTTCCTAAGAAGGCATTATGCAGCGCCTGCTCAAGGTCGCGGAATTCTGTCCTGCCAGGCGTATTAGTCCTGCTCGTGTTGGAGGATTTATCGTGCCAACTGCCTTTAAAGGGTTTCGTTTTTCATTTTCAACGGTTTCTTTTGTTTTCTTCGTTAGCGTTATACTCGCAACATGATTCAGTGGTTCTGAGCCCTGCAACCTGCGACAAGGCGATCGCGGGCGCTGTCTTTGATATCATCTGGGATATTGACCGGGTATCGAATTCTTAGCAATCCGTTCCAAAGTGATAAACCAGTCCAGTTTTTTACACTTTCAATCAAAAGCATACAGAACGACAAATAAATAGAGCTGGAGTAAAAAGGACGGTGGACGAATTACTCCGTGAGGCTCGCAGGCGATTTTTCGATGGAAAGCTTGGTGTGAACCTTTCTATCAGAAGAATTCATACTGACCTGATTCTCACTTGAAATTCTATCCGACTGCGTTTATTCACCAACGATGCTGGTGCGTCCATCACATCCCAAATGGAAGACGGCGCATATTCGGACAGATCAACCCATTCGGCTTGTTCGAACTCAAGTTTAATCTCGTTCTCGTTATACTGAAGTAGTACAGGTCGACACTAGTAACCACAAATATTATATAATGCAGATCTGTGCGATGATGGGAAAGCAGAGCAGCAGCAGAATGGTGTCTCCGCCCATTACTCCGCCCACCCAGTCATTATGGAAGGTTTATTGCGACGCATACTCACCGTCCACGATCCGAACACCAACGTACACACTTGTTCGTCGAATGGGAAAAATTCCACGTCTAGAGTGTTCATATTTCTGTTTACTAATAGTTTTTTCAAAAAAAATTGTTCCACCTATGATGCACGAACTCTTGTAGATTGCTGGCGGTACCCATAGCATGTCACCAAGATGATTTATGACGACATTGCACATGAATGACACTTCATAGTTACCGTCAGCACTAAAAGGAAGAAGTGAGATGACTGGTTCCATTGCCTGATTAAACTGAATTCAAATTATTTATAATTAATCATTAGAGCTACTAGCTGCAGCATAACTTGCAGCAAGGGGTCTTAAATTTGAGTGAACAGGAGCCTGGCAATATTTTTGACTTTTGCCGGGAGATTAGTCTACTAGGAAAGCGTAGAAACACTGAAACGTGTGATCAAATGCGTAGAAAACCAATAGGAAGGGTTGTCATGTTAGGAGTGCCATTCACCTGAATGGATCACAGGTTACAGTAGATTTAGTATGAGAGCAGCCTGTGGCGAAACTATCTACCAAAAATCGTGCGCTGGCGAACGGCACATTCGTATGGGCATCAACAGCCAACTCTCACATTAAGTGGCAATACCTGGGATGTTGCATCAAAGACGCGACGACTGCGGTGGACGAGGCGCCCATGCAGTGGAACGGTCTACGGACAACTTGAACTCAATCCCTTTAAACGCGTCGATCTTCTCTTTTTCTCTGCACTCTCTCGTCCGCATGGCACTCTGTGGTTGTTGTGACTTCGCACATTCCAGCTTTTCACGGATTATAAGTGGTTCACCCACCCGGAGTCCCCTCCCCTTGAAAAATCCTCTTTCCTGGCCTATATGTTTCTTGCACTTCCGATGCTTTGGCAGCCGCTGTCCTCTATCTGTCTGCGTTTCTTGGTTTCGCAACAGGACCACGCACAAAAGTTCAAGATGTCACGTAACCGTGAGTGATGAACGCAGAATCGCACCAGGACCCAATCCAATCGACCTGCTAGCGACGCTCGTGGTCGACTCTTTTCCAGATCAGCTCGCACTGCGATATCGCTACTTGGAAGTACCGCTCCGCAGCCGATAATTAGTCGATGGTCCTGATTTATAGCACTGGCGCGGCTGTAGAACATCCCTTGAGGCCGCTTTCAGGAAAACCCTGGCCCCTGGCCACTCTGACTTACAAGTTCTAGTAGAAAACCGTGGTGTTGTGTGCAGGTCCTATGTTGTTCTACCACCACGTACTTGTTGAACAGAACGATGTCAGGCAGCCACACTTTGTCCGGCTGCACTCGAATTTGTCTGATTTCACCGTATTTCACTGGATTCCAACGCATTTGAAAATCGTGCCATTTCTGAAATTGAGTGAGATGACAAAAAATCGGAAAGATAGCCCAAAAACCATTCACGTACCAGTGTCAACCACACGTTGGTATGCATCACTTGATCCTTCTCGTCCTAAAAGAGTAGAGGTGAAGGATAGAAACCCTCACGATCAAGTGTGCTATGTAAAAAATATTTTTACTTACCACATTGATAAGCAGAACAAGTTGCAAAGCGATTTTCACGATGATTGGTGTATCGCTGATATTTTTCACTGGCTGCAGAAGGAGCCGTTATTATTTTGCCAACTGTCATGTACATAGCATCGCATACATGAACATTTAGATAAAGATTACCTGAATCAAGGAATTGTAGCCGCGGAAGACGTCCATCATGAGACGTTCTTCGTCGTCGGAGGCGGACGCTGGAAGCATCATGACAATTCTATGCTCATGAAATTATGTCGGAGCTTAGGTTGAATGGTAGTATGCTAAATGACACTCCCCTCTTGATAACGCCACGAATTCTTCCTTCTTACCGGAACCGTAAGCAGGTGAATATGTTGTCTGCCCCCACTTAGCGTGCTGACGTTTGCGACGGTATCCATACTGCCTAGCGCGGCAATGGTAGAAAGCCCCTTCCTATGCACGGAGAAGTCTAGCTGGAAAAATAGCTAGCCAGGTAAAATTCGACTTTGGACTGTCAGTAACTCTTTTGACATACATGCAGGAAAATCTGTACGGAAGACGTCTAATAAGTTCTGCTATAAAATTAGTGATAGGAGTAGAATGCAAGCAGGTGTGAAGGGACTGTTGGCACATGCTCTACGATAAGGTGCACCTGGATACAGCGAGTTCTCTTTTCTTTATGGGTCCACTTATTGGTAGCAGTCTTGCCTGTACGAACAGAAGCACTCATCAGAGGGACTTTTCCCAGATAGCTGGACATTCCGACAAAATTATCTCCCTCGTGGGCCTAAATCTCCCCTTTCTAGCGCTTGCCACATACATCACGGAAACAGCTGAATATTCTTCATGAGAGGGATAGAGTTACTCAGTCCACCATTGAAGGCGTCGAACGTTGTCATTCTGGAAAAGTTGTTACTGGCATGCCGCTCAAACTCTGCTATCCGTATCTGGCAGCAATACGGGGGTGAGCAGAAAAGGAACACCTTGACCAAGGCACTCGGAATCAATGTTTGCAGCATGGGTGACCAGGTGAATAGTCCCGAGATGAAATGTCTTTTCATAAGCAAGATCAAACTCATCGTCACAGCGTCTGCCCTTGGGAAAAGCTGAAGCAATCGCCACCGCCAACCACAATGCGGCCTGCAATCACTAATGCTTCATCGTGGTGCGTCGTCGTAATTACGGAGAATGAGACAGTAGCAAGGTTCTGGAGACTGTCGCACCTGGACTGGGCGACTCAGCTTTCTAGAATGTCTGATGTCTTCTGACACGATTGTCAGGATTAAATTTTATGGCTCAACTTCAAAGCCGAACACCCTACGAGCCTGTTCGGGGCTCAGCTTCAAAGCCGAACACCCTACGAGCCTGTTCGACAGGCTACGAATATGTAAGGATCGAGGCCAGTGCACGAAGTGTTTACCCTATTCATTTTCCCGGAATTCATTCGAAATAAGTCCTGTGAGGACAAAATTTCCATGTGCGGAGTAAGCTTCCTCCATGATCCCCTCTGTACACACTTGGGACTTCCACTCCTGTGCAAACACTTCCTCACAAAGATGAAAATTTAGCTTTGCTTATAAAATATTTCCAGACAGACATACTGACAGACAGACAAACGTAGCCGTTTACATATAGTAGATTTCCTTGGTCCCGAACTTCATCGTAGATCAAAGGCATGGTATCAGCCATTCATCTCAAGCCACTACAATGGTGAATGAAAACTAGATGCATGGCACATTCTAGAACGGATATAGACCAACGGTTCAGTACTTTTACCTTCACTTCTTAACGTGAATAGTTGATATTGCTGTGATCCAGCGGGGCGGTCTGAGAAGGCGTGAAATAAGTCCACCCGTTTCTACCACTGTTGCCTTCTGCGCACTACTGGTAGGGACGCCGATACGGGTGGCCTAATTGCTTACCTCCTACTCTGCCCCGCCGGATTGTGACGACGTAAATTGCAGGTGCAACGGGAAAACATACCCAGCTTCATCAGAAAACCGGCGATGATCGAAACCAGCAGTGGGAAATACATTGTGACGATTTGGTCGACGCTACATAGCAATTCTAAAAAGAGAAATAGTTAGAGTAGTCAAATAACATTCAACGAACACACATAATCGCGCAAAAATGTTCAGAACTGTCATTGAGCAGGCTGCGCAACAAACCAAACATTGGCAGTTGCTAACAATAACTAATTCGGCAATTCTAATTTTTGTGCTGCAAGTAATCATTAACTGCTATTCAATATTTGATGACTTTCGGATGGAAAGTCAATCAATGAATAAAGCAAGCGCCATAAATACATCACTTTGGCGATAAGCTGTCATCTCGAAGTTTGTTGGAGTTAATTAGGTGTTTTTGGGTCGACTCCGGCGATTTCGACACTACTTGATTGCCTATCCATCACAGGGAGGCAGCGTCCAAGATAGGTTGCAATGATACTAAAGTGCA